AGACAGACAGGAAGAGAGAGTGGTGGGGTGGGAGAAAGGGTAAACGAGCACAGGGTGGGGGAGAGAAAAAGAAAGAGAAGAAACACTGAGAACGAAGACGTTGACGAACCATCGCACTTTGACTGAAGTTTCGATAATGTATCCTTTTTCCAGTTTCCAGACAGAGAACAGTTAAAGCAACAGATGAACATCGTGGGTACATTTTAGATACAAACAGAGTGAATGTTATATTATTTTATCACTTCTTAATCGGAAAGGTTTTTGATGGCTGATCACTGAGTTCATTAATTAAGACACATGACTATCATCACAAAACAAGGCGCCTCGACTGCGAGGAAAAAGCAAATAAGTATGTGTGTCTGTGGTGTAGCGGTTTGGCTCTTCGCCATTGTTACCAAAAGACGTGAGTTACAAGTCTGAAAAAGGGAAGTCTTTTATTTTATTTTTCAGAATAAATTACTCGAGTATCTCCCACTGTGTGTTGGGATCCCCTATTCCACTCAGCCAGGGTTGTCCCTGGCAGGCATGATCGAAACAGCCCGCCTCCCAGATCATCTAAAGTGTGTCGATGGGGGCGTAAAATGCAGTAAAACTTTGGAAAATAGGTGTCTGATTGTATGCACACTTATTAATTCAATGCTCCCTGCGAAACGGATAACTTGTATCAAGTAATATTACCGCTTAGGATAAATAAAATGGCTTTTCCTTCTTATTCATATATATATACATGTACATTATACATGTATTTCTATATTGCTTTGCGGCATTCATATCCATGTACATGTATATTTCTATTTAGAAAGACCTTCTCTCGAGTCGACATTTCGCTACATCAGAAGTACTAAGTCCTATCTGCTCAACCCCTAGTTTTGATAAATTTAACGTCCAAGATTTTGAGTTTCATATCATGCCAAGCTTTTTCGAATGCAATTTTCTGAATATCTTGATAACAAACTCCGAATAATGTTACGATTTTGATAGAACAGATAGGCCATTTGGTTCCGGGCTTAGGTCAGGGTCTTAGTAACTCAAAACGGCCAAAAATGGCAGTTGAACTTAGTAATTTTAAGGTAGCGATTTCTTACCGTATGATTTCCAGGATGGTGCCTCAGTGAGGGAAGATGGTTATAGGATCTGGCGATTGCCTGAGGGCGGGGTGAGATGTTTGTAGATGTTTTGATGCCTTGAGGAGCTGCAACAGAGCAATTCAGTCAAGAAAATTTCATAAAATTCGTGGTCAGTTTGTTATTGACCCCAAATTTGATTCTAACGCAATTTATTAAGACGGCTGGACAACTCCTCTTCTTCTTCTTCTTCTTCTTCTTCTTCTTCTTCTTCTTCTTCTTCTTCTTC